CAAACTCACTCAATTATTCAAAAATGAAAACAACTACCAAACTATCTTGCTTGATACTATGTTTACTACATTTGTCTCTTGAATCCAAAGGAGAACAATGTGGTAGACAAAGTAATGGAGCTTTTTGCCCCAATGGATTATGTTGCAGCCAATTTGGTTGGTGTGGTGACACTGATCCTTATTGTGGAACTGGTTGTCAAAGCCGGTGTAAATTTTCTCCAAAACCAACACCGAGTGGTGGTGGTGGTGGTGGAGATGTTGGAAGGCTTGTTCCTTCTTATCTGTTTGATCAAATGCTTAAATACAGAAATGATGGACGCTGTCCTGGTCATGGATTTTATAGCTATGATAGTTTCAATTGCTGCTGCTAGATCTTTTAATGGATTTGGTACAACTGGTGATGATAACACACGTAAGAAGGAACTTGCTGCTTTCTTGGGCCAAACATCTCATGAAACCACAGGTTGTTAATTATGGCTACTTGTTTAGATAATTTGGATATGTTAACTATTTTTTTTGGGGGTACAATGGATATGTTAACTTTATATAGAGTAGTTTATTTTGAATTTTGGATATTCATAAAACGATTAAAAATTTAATTAATTTAAAACACTAACATATCAATATATATTTAACCATAAATACTCCTATATCTTAATAGAAAAAAGTACATATCATAAACTTGTAGAATAATTAAAATATCATAAATATATTAAGTGTTTAGTTAGTAGTAAATTTAATAAGTGATAAAAAATAGTGGTGGCTGCAGTAGCTTATGAGAGTTGTGTTCGGTATAGTCAGAGTGGTGGTTTGAGTGGTAGTTTGCGGTGATCAGTTATGATTGGATGGATGAAGTGATGATTGATGGCGGTTAGAGTGGTGACCAATGTTAGTCTATGATGGCTAAATTAGTTATCTTAGATGAATAAGGGATCAAGACTATCAAAGTAGTTGTCAAAGATGGCAAGAGTGATGATTGTAATGATAATCAATGATTAAATTGAAGATCAATATGTTAATAAAGTGGTGATGTGAAGAAATTATAGTGATAGTCAAAGATGATCAAAGTGATGGTTGTAATGATAATCAATGATCAAATTGAAGATCAATATGTTTATAAAGTGGTGATTAGAAGAAATTATAGTGATAGTCAAAAATGGTCAAAGTGATAGTTATAATGATAATCAATGATCAAATTTGAAAATCGATATGTTAATAAAGTGGTGATTAGATGAAACCATTGTGATAGTCAGTGATCGAAGTAGTAGATGGTGAGAGATAATTTAAATAGTAATCATTAATAATTAGAACGATAATCAATTAATGACACACGTGATGATGGTTTTGTTATAAAAAAAATTATAAAATAAATTTTTTTAATTTAGAAATTTAGAATTAAAAAATTATTTTAAAATTGCAGAAAAATAAACTCAATTCCCATTTTAAACTATCATATTTATGTTTTAAAATTATATATGAAATTAATATTTTTGAGCATATAGGTGGGTGGTCAAGTGCACCAGACGGCCCATATGCATGGGGGTATTGCTTTGTGAACCAAGTGGATAGCCAGGGAGACTTTTGTGCATCTAGAGATTGGCCATGTTCTCCTGGTAAAAGCTACCATGGCAGAGGACCAATTCAACTCACTTAGTAATCTTCTTAATTAATTTTAGTGAACTAGTAAATGACTATTTAATTTGTTAGTGCTTGACCAAGAAAATAAACGAATATTTAATAAACTAATAGGATCTATGTTGACTTTTCTTCACAGCAACTACAATTATGGTCAAGCTGGTAATGCCATTAATCAAGATTTGATAAGAAATCCTGATTTAGTGTCCACAAATCCAATTGTATCATTCAAAACAGCCATATGGTTTTGGATGACCCCGCAGGGAAACAAGCCATCAAGCCATGATGTGATTACTGGAAGATGGACTCCATCTAGTGCTGACTGGTCAGCAGGGCGAGTCCCCGGATATGGCGTGATCACCAACATAATAACGGCGGGAATGAATGCGGACGCGGACAGAATAATGGAGCCGACGATCGAGTCGGATTTTATAAAAGGTATTGTCAAATCTGGGAGTAAGCCCTGGTCGTAACTTGGATTGCAATAACCAAAGGTCGTTTGCTTGAGCAAATTACTCATGTTAATGTTATAGTATAAAGAATGGTAAAAAAAAAGGATGACATTGAATTATCCTACATGTAAGTGGAACCTTGCTAAATAAAATAGGTTCCATACTGTTTAAATAAAATGATTTAATAATTTTACCATCTTTTGTTGGATAAAGTGTTGCGGAAGAATAACCATAATTCGGGGCTACTAGCACAAAATAATGATAGAACAATTTTAAGATTCCTAATGCGTGTGAAAATACATCATTTTCATAGAGTATATGATTAGATTTGTTAAAAAAAAGAATGATTCAGTTGACTAATTCATAAAGATTAAAAATATATAAATTAAAGTGAGAGAAGAATATTTTTTATCAAAGTACCTCTTATAGATTATTAAGAATGTTGAAAGTGTATTAATCAGTAGATATAATTGAAAAAATTAATTAATATTGCATTATAAATTGAAAATACTCAATCATTTACAATTTTTTTTTTATTGCAAATGAAGCGGTAGTAGGTCTAATGCAAAATATACCTAATTATATGTCCAAAAACGCATTTATTGAAAAATTGACTATATATAAGAGGGGAGATGTGGGATAAATTGTAAAGGTTAAAAAATGATATCCAACTATAAAATTTTTAATTTAGAAAAATGTTTAAAGCAATTTTATAAATCAAATATAGAATAGGCATCAAAATAATTGAAGGAAGTAAAATTATAGAGATGGAAATACATTGCAAAGAAATAAAGAATGGTAAAATATAAAGACAAGGGAAGAAAGAAATATACTAGTAATTTGTACAGTTCAACCTAACTTCTTGACCTATTCATGTCTCAAAAAGTTTCTTCTTGTCAGTTTCCACTATGTGAGATGTGAGCTTCATAGGTTATGCCTACAAATCCTCTTACAACCTAACAAGAGATTTTACATTGCCTAAGCTCTAATCCAAATGAGACATTATACACGAAGTTAATATCAAAGCCGAATAGATCTTTTACCATAGATTTAGCTTAAAAAGAAAACAAAGTTTTGACGGTTAAACTCAATAACCAAGTGAAAGATTTTAGCAGACTTAGTTCATGAACCAAATAGAGATTTTACCTGGCTAATCTTAAGAACCAAAGAGAGCTTTCAACTGGTTCAACACAAGAATCAAACACTGAACTCTCTTGATGATCTTTGATCACACATATTTGATTGTTTTTATTTAGTTTAATTTCAATGTTTTTTATTTGTTTATCTACACTTTACTGCAAATAGTTGGTCATTTACACTGTGTTACAGACATTGAGCAATTGGTATTGATTGTGGAGAGAAACTGATCGAAAAAAAAGAAAAAGAAAGAATTTGATCCCATGACGAGTGGCATGAGGATCAACATGCCTCTAGAAGAGTAAATTATCATAGACTAAGAAGGAAGAAAAACCAACACGCCTAAAGCCATGACAGGTTGTCCGTCATCATCCATGATGCGCGTCATGGATCCAATTTTCTTTTGTTCTGAAAGCCCAAGTCATGACAGGCTGATTGTCATCTAGGATGACACCTCTCATAACGTCAAAAAGTGCCCATGTCTGGGCAGTTTCCAGTCAGTTTCTGAACATACCTAGAGTTATTTCTCATGATTCCAAAGATTATCAACTGCCAATTTTGGTCTTGTGGAGTATAAATTTATAACTGTAACACATTGTTAGGGGTTACTTCATTATTACAATAAAATTGCACTTAAAATTAAAATTTTATTCAAGTTTGTTCTTCATTTTTGCTATTGTATTTTTCTTGTTATAGCACTTTATACTATATTTGTGTATTCAGATCAAAAGTCTACCTTCGAAGCACGTTTAATTTCAAAAGAAAATATTTATTCTAGGTTCAATTCTCTATTGTTTTTATAATTAATTCATTGTATGCATGTGTTATTTATTTATTCATCATGCCATAATAAATTATTTAAAGTCTGAAACATAAGGACTTTCATACCAACAGAACTCACATGAATCATATAGACATTAAATCTCAATAAGAATGAAGACTTTGTTTTTCAATTTCAATTTTGAAAAGAAAATACTCGCTACGAAAGTAGAAGCTTCGAGATATCATTTATGCTCTAAAAGGGTGTAAACGGTATCTAACTTAGAAATTCAGACTTTTGATTTTTGAATTGTGAAAGCGTATCTAAGTTAATCGAGAGACTACTATTATTTTGAAAGGGACCTTTAAATTCACAATTTAGTGATGCGAAAGTAGGTGGTTGCAGGTTTAAAGTCTTGTAACGCGCCGACGAAAGTGGGTGTTACCCATAGTTAGTATTGACTATGAAAACATAATTCTTGTTATGATTAATGTAGTGTTTCAAATGAGTAAAGTTGGTAGATATACATCTTTGTTTCGGCCTCTTGTTTTAAAATTGAGAAAAAATTATTCTCCTTTTTCGCACAAACGAACTAGTTTCACGCAAAGCCTTAGATACACATCAAAATAATAGAAAATGGTACTTGGAATATTGGTCTATATGGATACGATAATTTGTGATACTAATCGATATAGGTTTATACTTGCGGCCTATCAAGTTTTTGGCACCGTTGTCGGGGACCGATTTCAATCAATACTACAATCCATTATTTCACCATTTAGACTAAGACAATTTTCTGTTTTATTTAATTTTTCTTGATTTTTATTGGTTCCGATTGTATGCGAAGAGCCCGAAGTTTAGGTAGCCTCATTTAACCAATTAACAAAATTAAGTGTTATCTACATAAGAGACGTTAGTCAATTTGAACCCAACAAGCGATGGCCGATAACGATACTCACATACTTAAGGAATTTGTGGTTCCCTCGACTGAGGAATCACATTCAAGTATTGTTCTTCCAACCATAACATCAAACAATTTTGAGTGGAAACCTTATCTACTACACATGGTGCAATATAACTAGTTATCCGGTTCCCCAACAACGACCCAAATTTTCACCTTTCGAAAATTATCAAATATTGCGACACTCTAAAATGCAATGAAGTAGATCCCAACCCGATTCAAATGAGATTATTTCAATTTTTCCTTAGGGACAGAGCTAGAGGATTGCTACATTACCTTCCATCCAATGACATTATGACTTGGAATAAGCTTAAAAAGAAGTTTCTATCCAGATACTTCCCGCTGAGTAAGCTTGTGCAACTTAGGAACCAATCACCTACTTTAGGCAGAAGGATGGGGAATCACTCTTCGAAGCCTGGGAGCGATTCAAGGATATGATGTGAATATTTCCGCATCATGAACTCGAAAAGTGGCATATCTTCCACACTTTTCATAATGGTATTTTCTATAATACGAGAATGATGTTGGACGATGTTGTAAAAGGAGTGCTTATTTACAAGCATTTCGATGAGGTCTATGATCTTATCAGTGATATGGCTAAAAACCATTACCAATGAGGAAGCAAACGAGCTCTTGCAGAAAGAGCCCCTCAAAGGATGGAACAAAATATCTTTGCAAGGAAAAAAGGCTGGTTTGAAGAAGACATGTTCTAAGGTGGTGGAAAGGGAGTTCCGTGTCAACACTTCTAAAACATGTGACAATATCAAGAAGTGCACAAGGATTTTTGACAGGTGTAAAAGGTGGAAGATCACCTGAAGATGATCAAGTTGTATGTTTCAATAAGTTTTTTTGATTCAAATTTGTGTTTCCAACTATTCTTTTGTGTTTCCATCTATTGATTATGCTTGTATGTATGTCTGCTTTCAATTTTATGTTACATTTACTCTATTTTCTTGGTCAATTTTTGGCTAAAAGGGAGAGTAAAGTGTTAGTGTGTCCATGATGTCATACCAGATTTCCTGACATCTTGCCTGGAGTATTTTTATGGAGAACTCTGGAACTCTGGTTACTCAAGTTCTCTTAGTTTTTTATGAAGCTTATTTTTCTTCTACTGGATGTGCCTCTGATGTGTGAACTTGGATAGTTCATGTTTGGATGTTCCCTTGTGGGGGAGTATTGATTATGTGTGACAAGAGGAGTAATTGACCTTTCTAAAGTTGCTGAGAATTGTGCTATGGTGCTGAATTTATTGTGATGTGTTGGAGTTGTTTGGGTTGTGTTGATGTGATGTCAGACCACATGTCATGACATCTGATCTCAGGAGATTTCTGGATTTTTGAAGAAGATTTATGTGTAAGGCTATGTCTCTATGTAGATGCATTTATCTCAGATGTTTTCTATTTGCAATTTATACAAAGTCTATATGTATTTCTTGTAGCTTGCGTTTTCTTTTTGTGGTTTTATTCCTTATCTCCAGTTTTATTGTGCTAAGGTTGTTTTAGCCAAAATTTTCCTAAGGGGGAGATTGTTAGATCCATGGTTTTATGATTGGCGTAACTTTTTCTAAAACATGGTTCACAACACGATGTTGTAAGAGATGACTTGACATGTTGGTCATACTTAATTGAAGATGGATGTTGTGATAGATGTTGAGGCATGTTAAACCAGAACATTAGTACAACTCTGCATTTTAAATCCTTGAATATTTAATTCTAAAATATGAGATTCTGGATGATTTTAGTTCTCATATGGTCGCAACTAAGAAAGGATTTTTTTAGGAACATTGCATATTTGATTTGGTTTCCTAAAAAAGGATCTTGGAGACTTTTTAGGAAATTTTTTAGATTTGTTCCTATTTTTGTGGAGAAGATTTTACAGATGATTTACAACTGGAAGATTGGATTTGTGTGAAGAGTCAAAACCCATACTGCAAGAGTCTTTATATAAGGACTTACTAAACCTAATGAAAGGTGTGAAAAGAAATAAGGAGAAGTTATTCTACAAGAGTATTAGGGTTTGAGAGTCTTTTTAGAGTACTGTGTTTTTTTGTATGTCACTCGTGTATCTTTTGATATATTGAGGTAGACTGATTGTTCATTGTTACTTGCCAATCACTCATGAGATTTTAAGCAAAGAGTAAATTGTGTGACAAAAATCAGAAGGGTGTGATTAGTAATGATTGGGCTAGGCCCAAGAA